CCATTAAGGACGAGAAGCTTAAATCTGATTTTCGTAAACAGATGGCAAAGCTGATCGCCAAGGAGATGACCAAAAACGAAGCTGATCAGTCCCTGACAGACTCAGAAGAGGTACCGATGAATTACTGATGAAAAATCACTGCACATTTATTGTTCCTATTTTTTGCTGTGGTAGTAATGACGATTTATTTCTCCGTAAGTCTCCGTAAGTCCAAACTGGTTTGTAACTAAGATTGATCATCAATCGTAAAAAGTTTTTACGATTTTTTTTTGGAAACGGTATTAAGTGAAGATTAGTTTTTGGACGTCGGATTTTGTCACGCTAAAGGAAGATTAGAACGACATTTGGAGCCTCTGATGAACGGTTTTACTTTCCTTTGTATTTAGTGAAGTAATTTTTAGGTTTTGTTTCACAAAATATCCGACGTTAACTTTTAGGTCAACAAAAGGTCCTCTGTGGTCCAAAACTCGTTAACCTCTACCTTATGGTAAACCTGATTGCTTTATAGAATAACAAGGACGAGTCCGCACCCAAGTCGAAGGTACATGGCTCTGGAGATGATATTGAGAGGAACAGTTCGACCAGTTCGGCAGATCAAGATATTCCGCCGTTGGACATCAATGCGACTGCTTTGCTGTCGGAAGATGGCATGGAGTTGCTCATTCAGTACTTGCAGGGTCGCAAATTTGAAGATGAAATCAAAGCAGAGGAATTCGTCTTAAATCTGTGGGATTTTGCTGGACAGCACGTATATTATGCGTCACATCCTGTCTTCCTTTCACCGCGAGCAGTCTACATCTTGGTTTACAACCTCGGCAAAAGTTTGAGCGCCAAGGCCGAGCCCTGGGTCAGGCAAGGGGCAACTAAACGTCGTTTACACAACCCAAATGATGAGACCAATTTAGACAATTTACTGGCCTGGCTGGTTTCTGTTCATAGTATTCGAGGTGCCGATGTAGGTGATGATGTAAAAGACGCGGATCATCAAGCCAAGGAGAAGCCAGGATATCTTCGCCCACCAGTACTCATTGTTGGTACTCACGCTGATCAACCGTTTGAAGACCTCGAGATAATGAAAGAGTGTATTGAGAACGGTATCTCGGGTAAAAAGTACCAGCAGCAAGTGGAACGACCATTCTTTTATGTCGATAACACCAAGTCCAAAAGCGATGGAGGGGTCAAGAAACTGAAAAACAAAATTATGACGTTATTTAAGAAGGGATCGTGCAAGGCTGAAACTGAGTTGCCACTTAGGTATGACTTTCTTTGTAGGAGAATTTTTATCTTAAGAAGAATACGATTTTGACTTTATAATGTGGGCCGTTAATACTAAATAGAATATGCCTGAAAATAGGTTATTGTTATTCATCGTGGTAAATGTTAATAATAATAATAATAATAATAATAATAATAATAATAATAATAATAATAATAATAATAGTAATAATAATAGAGATTAAAATTATAATTTAAAAAATCTCCAAAATCCTTTGGGCAAATTTTTAAAGCTTTATAACATTGACAGTTTTATACAAAGAAGAATGCCAGACCACAACAAGATAACATTTGCCATAAAATATCTTCCCATGTCACATCCAGGGTAAAGACGTCACCAGTGACGTGTCTATTGCCAAGTTAGCTCTTTTTTTTGCCGTGATAAGATTTCGTTAACGAGTTGAAAACAATAGCATATTTGAGGGTTTGTTTGTGAGGGGCATTAAAAAAAAGACCAGTTGATCTCCAGCATTTAGAATGAACGGGGTAATTAACATGAGCGAAACAATCGGGTGACTTTCGAGTCGACGATTTATCACACGGCAGCAAAATTTGCAGGGAAGTAATGTTCTACCAGGGCCGATAATAACCCGGAGCGAGTAACTTCGATGTACGTACTCCTGTCAAGGCGTTTTTACCGCCCAGTAACTGTCAAGAATTTTTTACATCTTAGGCTCCTGCCCCAGCCTAACCTTGATCAGCCGCTCGCGTAGTTCTCCCCACCATACCCCAGTCATTTATTATGTTTTTATCATTATTATGGTTTTTATTGGGATCCCAGGTCGATTTATATTTCTTTCGGAATCGAATGTCAGACTAATTTGCAGTAGTCGTTTACCTGTCAAAATTTATGTGTAATTACGTTGTTATTGTTAGCTATTGTTGTGGCCGGATACTGGACAAGCTATGTCAAAATATTAATTTCGTGATGGAAGCAAAGGCAAAATATTTAACTGTTTTGCTTTAAATTAAGGACTAAATAGTTTTTCTATGGGCCAAATTTCAGAACTTTTGTAACTAAGAAAGTCAAGTTATTGCAGTTTTAAACTGAATTGGCCGGATACTGGGCAACATACTGTATCTTGTAAACAAAGACAGAGAAATCAAATATGGAGATGGAATGAAGGAAGTCGTTTCAGAATTGTGAATAGCCCCTAAGCAGACTCGTTAGTGAGACCCACCGTTCAAAACCTCCACAAGATTTTAGGTTTGGCAGTATTCAATACCCCAGCCCTTATACATGACTATGAATCGAAGAGCCGTTTTTTTTCGCCACTAACACCTGTCCACCAACTCTCCTGACAACTGACTTGACTCAATGCCCTCGTCAAACCGAGTGTCAAATGTTTTGTTTTTTGCAAAGAATTTCTGCTAAAGAGGGTTGCTGGAAAATTGAAATGACCAGGTGATGACTGCACACATCCCTCTAGATGGAAACGGAAAGAGTGTTGTCATTTTAACCAGTCAGTTAGCTAAAAATTCAGTCTGGGAAGATAACATTTTTTTGGTGGAAAATTTGTTCAAAGGAGTTTCGACGAGTACTTGGTGTTTAATGTTAGACCAGAGCCCGACAATTCTGCTTTGTCTCTTAGGTGGTTCCATTTTGAAAAGGTTGTCGAAGCATTGGTTGAAGAAGGAAAGACCTGGATGAAACTGGATGAGCTGTCAACTGTCATCAAACGGGTTTGCCACATTGAGGATGAGAAGGAGTTGAGAACAATGTTGACTTTCTATCATGATCTTGGTGTGATAGTCAAACATGGCAATACTGTAGTGCTACAGGCTCAGTGGCTTATTAACCTTTTTAAACAGCTGATAACTGTTCCTCCTTTCGAAGAGGTGGTAAGTAAGTCATATTGTTTTATCATAGAGCTAGTTTTTTGGTGTTGCGGAACCACACACAAAAGCTATTAAAACAAATGTTTTTCGCAACACCAGGAAACACCCTAATAATTTTGTTTTTATATCCCCGTGCCAGATGAGTCATTCCTATATTTTAATAATTATTCTTTGAAATTCAGTTGACTGATGGCCGAATTATTTTCCGAGCCGAGAAGCGCTCAGATCCCCATTTACCGAGACTGATAATTATAACACATTGTTTTATTGAACACACACCAAGTGATCTTAACAGAATCAGAGAGGAAACTATTGAGATAACAAATGATTGATAGGTTAATTCATGCGTGAAAAATGCGCATGTAGTGGTAAAGATCGGTAAACAGTACATGCCTAAAAGTAAGATCCTTACAGAATTTCCAAACATGGCAAATCATAGTATCAATCCTCTCGCAAAGTGTAACGGTTTGACGGTTTAAGTGGAGTCGTTGGAGGCTTAAGTTGCTACCCTACCTGAGAAGAAAGGTAGAGCCTCTTTGCTTCAGTCAACTCGCCGGTTGATTGAAAAAGATTTCTTGTCGTGCTCATTGCAAGTGTCGAAAATAGCGAATCTTATCGAGCGAACGTCGTTTTTTTGTAGTATTATTCTCTGTCTTGTTTACTTGCTGACATGCTGATTTTTTCGCTAACATTTGCTTTCTCTTTTTTCCTTAACTGAAATTCGATTTCTGGGCAAAATTCTGAGTTCACAAAACCGTCTCTTCTACTTGAAGAAGCTGTAGTTGTGGAGCAGGTAAACCAAGTAGATGTGAGAGTTGTATGGGAAATAAAGAGTTTGTAGGGGAAATAAAACTTACATAAAAAAATAAATGAACTTAAACGGGTAAAAGTTATAAAAAAGTAACTATAAATATCGTCAAAGCCTGCGGTGTCGTTGTCTTTCTTTCTAGGAAATTTCTGCCCCGTTTGAGCAATTTATCATCCGACTTGACGGTACTGCACTGTCAGGTCAAATGATACTATAGTGCTCAAAAAGCGCTGAAACTTCGTAGAAGAAAAGACAATGAAAGCTTACCCTGGGACTTCCTTATTATTCTCTCTGTTATGATTCCTTCCTTATTTTCTCTTTTTCATAGGTTGATCCTAACTTTTCCGACTATTGGGACAAGCTGGAGAAGAGCGGCATCCTGGAAATTGCTCTTGTAGATCACGTTTTCAAAGATCTCATTAAAGAGGGCCATTCAAAGCAAGACATTCTTGATTGGATGGAGCTATATGGCTTAATTGTCAAATTCACCTGGGAATCAAAGGGTGAGAAAGAGACAAAATACTTTGTACCAGCTCAGCTCAATTCACCCCCATCTGGTCTGTACAAGATAAGTCCCTCCGAAAGTGATCCGTGTCCACTATATATCCATTTCCCTGATGGGTTTGTTCCACACGGGCTCTTTCTTCAGCTGCTGTCGAGATGCATCAGTTGGTGCTCCAAATACAACTGTAAGCGGTTACCACAGCTGTACTATAATGGTGCAAGGCTTTTCATTAGAATGCACAGTGTTTTCGAGCTCGTCCTGATTTGCAGAAAGAGATTCATCAAGGTTGTGTTGAGAAGTCCTCAGCAGACTGGTTCGTTATTGGCAGCTGCTTCAACGGAAATGGCCAATGAGATTCGGACCTTTCTTGACGCTACCTTAAAAGCCCTTACTTCTGAGCTGTCCTGGTTATGGAACCTTCAGTATGAGTTGTGTGTTGCTTGCAGCCATTGCTTGCAGAGTGATGACCAGTGTACTGAACACAATTCAGTAAGCTGTTCAGTTGATGATTGTCTTCATCTTCTCAAAGTGGATCTCAAAGAAGGGCTTTTTTGTGAGAAGGACTTCAGTGGTGAAAGACTTAAGGTGAATGGATCGGACAAATGGTTTCAACCTTGCAAAGCTCAGGTAATCTTGTTGTATTAAACTAACGTCATTTCTCCTAATGTCACAAAAAGAACAGTTTTTGTTTTCCATAAGAAGTTGGCTGAAATTGCGTTTTTTCTACGGCTTACCTTTCTGTTTTTATTGAAATTAGGAAGAGGAAGACAAATTGGGGTACCGCGTATGTGTGGCCGATGACGCTTTACTGGGTAATGTCTTGATTTCTAGTTTGTGACGTCCACATTTGTTTTTGTTTGGTTGCTTGTTTGATTATAAGACATTTATGTTAATTATCATAGCCAAGTGTCTCATTTACAAGGGAATTTTACTCTCCCTGAATTTTTGTGGAGAAACACTCCAGCCCAAAGGAAAGTTGTTCTACATAGTAACTCTACCTAGTTTCTTCATGGGCTTGTCGTGACGTCCGAATTAATCTTATTATCTTAATAATTTATATTACTTTTCCAAGTTCTGCTTCCACCGAAGTTTACCCACCCGGATTAACGAAGGAGCGTTTTTATCTAAGTGAAAAACTCACATTGCCAACGGACTGTTTTTAACAGATTCTTCATCACTCAAGCATGGTAAAGTTTCACCTGATGACCTTCCTCTTATCGCTTGTGACCTTGTCTCCTGCTGGAAACGGTTTGGACGAGTGCTACTCCTAGAGGAACGACAGTTAGAGCAGATTGAGGCAGATGAGCAGAAACAGATTGAAAAGAGCTATGGTATGTACGGCGGGGTTGGAATGATGTGTTTATTGCAAGATTGCTTAAAAGATGAATAATCTGCATGACCACCTTGCCTTTGGTCTAAAGACATTGAATTTGAAGTTAACGTATGCTTTCACATAAATTTAGGAATCAAGTGTACGCGTATCGCAGTACACTGAGAAGAATATGAATAAAGCTGAGACACGCCGCTTAAGAAAACACAGTTTGGTATTTGGAGAGGCCAAAGGGGCCTAGACGTGACGTTATCATACATAAGCGAATGCCTTGGGTTCGAGTATGTTTGTGTTGTATATTTTCTCCTGTTTTTCGTGTATTAAAATGAAGGTTACTTGATCCCCCTTCAGGCGTGCTAAAGAAATGGTTAGAGATTTCTGGAGACAAGGCAGAAAAGGCAACTTATCAGTGTCTGTACGCAGCATTCAAAGAAGTGGATCGAGCAGATCTTGCTGCAAAGTACTGTGACAAGCACAGCAATCCCTCGAAAGGTAAGTGCCGGTCTCTTGCGTAGTAAAAAACTCAACGAGTTTCGACTCCCGCCCGGCGTAGTTAATCGACCCCAATCGAACCGGTCAGTGTAAAACGCAGACTGCGGACTGCAGACTGCAGACTGCGGACCAGGGGTAAAATGCAGACTGAGTGTAAAATGCAGACTGCAGACTGAGAGTAAAACGCAGACCGGGGTAAAATGCAGACCGAGCATAAACTGTAGTCGTGGAAGGGTTTAAGGGCAAAAAAATCCCGCAAATACGTGTAAACGAACACTTACTTGATGACATCTGCTTTCACAAATCCATTCCTTTCTTCTCTGGAACGCAGTCGACGACCCGAAAACATAATCGCAATCTTGGACCTTTTTTCCATCCGAGAGACTTCACGCTTCAACTTTTGATGCGAAGTTTTCGATTTTCGTGACCAGGGACCCTGAACTGGTACAACACCACTGCTGACCCAAAATACTGTACAGGAATTATGGCGATAAAAACGGGAGTAAGTCATTCCAACAGCAAAGAAAAGATGTTCTGCAGGAAATTTGGATGACCTTCTATGAAAGTATTGCAAATCAAGGTACGCAGACTTTAGCTGTTTGGATGTTCATTGAAACTTCTGGCGAATGTGCAATTCACTTCGACTAGGAAGCGAAGTGTGTAACTGATACCGGCTGGCTATTTCACCGATTTGAAGAAGAAGGAGCACAAATGTTTAAAAAAGTCTACAGTCTTTATTCTGCATTTTACCCCATCCTACGTTTTACTCTTAGTCTGCAGTCTGCATTTTACACTCAGTCTGCATTTTAGCCCTGGTCCGCAGTCTGCAGTCTGCAGTCCGCAGTCTGCGTTTTACACTGACCGCAATCGAACTCCAATCGTTCTTTTCGGCAATCGAATTAAATCGAACTCACCCCAACATTTTGCCAATCGAACACAATTTAACGTTCGGAAATCGAACACTTAAACAATCAAACATAAAACCAGTTTCATCTGGCCGGGTTTCAAACAAGGCGTTCCGTTCTAATACGTTATGGATTCGCTTCAATTTCGCACACGGCGGTAATGTCCTAGGAAAGACGTTTTGCATGGTATTACTGTGCTGTTCATGTTTCCCAGTCTTAATTGTGAATTTATCGATTTTGAATCACTTTAACAATAACGATTTTAGTTAATTTCGGGTTAATTGAAATATTTTTGTTTTCAAACTGCTTATACATACTAGAAGGAGATCCTTCCGATTCAATTGAAACTGGATGCGTTTTGTCTTTCTGCCGAACAAAATCGAACTTAACGCGTCGATTGAATTCGATTGGTTCGATTGAGTTCGGTAATCGAACTCACCGAAAAGTTCCAGTTCGATTATGCTCGATTATACCGAACCAATCGAAGGACAATCCGACCGATTGGGTTCGAATGGGTTCGATTGATTTTTGGTTCGGTTTCGTTCAATTAGCTATGCCTGGCTCCCGCTAACTCGGACCCTCGCTAATTGGAACCTCGCACTAACTCCAAGCTTCCTCTCTTGTTAACTCGAACTTCTTACTAACTTGAAGCTACTTCTTTCCCTTTAGATAAATTTTGATATAATTTTACCCAAGATAATTCGAACCATAGTTTCCACGCGCGTGACACGTTCAAAACAAACATAGCCTGTTTCAAGAGTTCAGATAGTGGGGAAGTAGCCTAAATTTCAGACATTACTTCGAGTCGCTAATTCCCTCAGTTACTGAGGCCTGGTTCAGACGCCGTACTTTTCATGTCGAACCTAACTGAATAAGTTCGACTTTGGAGCGACACTCGCACGACATCTGATTCAGACGGCGCACCGTTTGTCGAGCCTAACTATAAAGTTCGACAAAAGTTCGACAGACTCTGTCGAACTTTTGCCGTACCAAACTGATTCAGACGCCGCTATTTTTCCGTACTTAATTCATCAGTTAGGTTCGGCACATGAGTGGAGCGGCGTCTGAGGTAGTAAGCGACTCGAAGTAATGTCTGTAATTCAGGCTTAAGTGCAGGGGGAGGACGCAGAGAAATCTGAGAAGGATTACGCTCTTTTTTTATAAGAATATATTTTCTAAGAACATCGAAGCGAAAATGTGCGAAATTTTAAGAACACTTTAAGTATAAACCCCAGGCTGAGATTTTGAAAAGGATATAATATTGTGTGCTGAAAGCCTGTACTAAATACATTACAATTATGTGTTTTTACCTATTCCTTTATCTAAAAGACAAAAGTAGCCAAAAAAACGAAAAATCCCACACTAACTGTAGTTGATACCGCAATATATTCTTAAACGGAAATGTCTTAAGCTATAGTTTAAGATTAATACAAGAACATTTTCAGCCTAAAATCGGCAGAAAAATAAGAAAATTCAGCCAGGGCCGGAAAAACAACATTCTTACAAAAATAGCTAAAAATGAGAGAGCAACTACCCGCTTTTTTTCTTTCGCTCACTATTTCGCGCCACTGCTACACTATCTGAACGTCTGATAGAGATTAAAACAAGCAGTGAACTGCAATCCGAAATTTTTGAAAGTTTTTGAAGCAGCTGTTGTTTTTTTGCATTTGAAACATTCTCCCATAGTGAAAACGGTGTTTTCCCTATTTACGTTTATTTGCTTTCAAACTCCCGATAACTCGAACTTTTCTGTATTTCCGTCTGAAATTACAGCCGCTGTATCTCCAACTTGATTTTTCTTGCTTCTGTTCAGGCTGTGATGACTAATATTACTTGCTTCTTGTTAAAATTCGTTCCTGTCACACAAACGACGCCTGTGGGGCAGGAACGCTTGACGAACCCCATAGAACGTCTGTGTGAGAAGCTAAAAAGGGAGCCAGCTTAGATTGTTAAATCTGTTCGACTAGTGCGAGGGGCATGTAGAATAATGCGCGCGGCCCATTTTTATATTCGGAGAACTCTCTCAAGTAGCATTTTATTGCACGATGTCCATACTGAGCTTGTATACATCATGAGTGGTTTGAAACCTGCGTTAAAGAAAATTATTCTCTGATTTTTCTTCAAGTATGGGCCGATGTGGCGTAAAAGGCCGAGTCGCTTGAAAAGCTTGTTGCAGAGTTCATCGACATGTACTACTTACTACTAAGTACTACATGTACTTCATAAGTTAGGTCTTAATCGATGGTCAAGCCAAGAAGTTTATGACCTTGCGACTTGTTCAATTTTTGTGGTATATCCGTTACAACTTCCAGCATTCCCGTATCTTTATCAATACGCCTCCCTATACACTTTACCGTAACCAACAAAGCTTTCGTTTTTTGCGTATTTATATATGTTTTGTTACCTCTAGCCCATCTCTCCATCTCTGCCAGATCATCAGATAATGATGAGTACTGAATAAACCGCTTTCTCTCATACCAGTACGATTTAAACCAAGCAACGGAAGAGGGATCGGCCCCATAGATATACTTTTTTTTCTTTGGTAGAAGTTCATGATCAATTGCATCAAAAGCTTTGCGAAACTAGTATAAACAGAAGACCGGTCAACTCGTCATTGTCCATGTTTGTTAATATCTGATCGGTAAGTTTGATTAGGGCTGTTTCTGTAGAATTTCCCGATGTCCCGACCTAAAAGCTGATTGCAGCTCGTACAACAAGTCATATTTCGCAAAAATTTAAAAAGGGAGCTGGCTACTTGTTTTTCGAGAATCTTCAGCTGGGAAGACGGGTAAAACAGATACAACTGTTAAACCTCACACTGAACAAACTGCAATGTTAGCTCGCGGAATAACAAGAAAAATAGTCGACAACTCGAACTTACTTACAACTCGAGGTTAGTTTAAGTTTGTTTAAGAGTATGCTTCTTCAAAGGTTACAGTGTCACAGGCTAACCAGCTCGCCATTACCGACGTGAACGTATTCAAAAGCAATTAGTCCTCTAGTTTTATTTTTCGTTTATTTGTTTTTGTTCCTGCTGTTTGGTTATTGCTGTTGTCGTTTTACTACATGAGGCAGAAGAGATATAAAGATCTAAATATGTTTTATTTATATGGCGCTAAAACTACATACAGATTCTAAGGCGCTGATAAAAGCTGACAAACACTAACAGATAACAAACAGTATACTCAATGAAAATGAAAATTAAACACCGCAATCACTGTTCAAGGATTGGATCATAGGGCAAATGCCAAATGAAATAAAAATAGCCTTTAGAGCCTGCTTAAAACCCTGAACACTTCGGATACTCCTGACAGCTGAAGGAAGAATGCCCATGCGTACTTTCCTTTCTCTCCTTAGCTTGTAATTCCATCAACAATTTTAAGCAACCGAATAGACTGTCACCCTGCCTGGCTCATAGCCATGCATACATAATAAGCAAGTAGAAAGAACTTTTCGGCTGAACCTGTCGAGATCAACGTGTCGCAAGTCAGATGGACAAGCTATGATAATAGATCATAATAATCAACCAACGTTGACGAGTGAAATGGTTTGTTTGTTTTGTTTTTTCACAGATTTGGCTTTGCCTCCATCCCCTCCAGTTAAGGCTGGCACACCATCCGATCAAGACCTTCTCGATGTTTCTAATGAATTTTCTAATTCGTGGAAGTTGTTCTGTCGGGTATTAAAACTGTCTGAAGCCAAGTTGGCACAGATTGAGGAGAAAGAGCCGGATCTTCCCAGCAAATGCCACGGTATAGTTACTGATTTGCTTTCCTGAACTAGTAAAGCCTTAATAAGCTCACATGCCAATGCTTGGCCTTGGTCTGTGTAGAAAAGAAGATTGCAAGAGATAAATTAGCGAGTAGGTTAATGTCAAGAGGCCGTCATTAAACCAAATAAATGATGATGATGATGATGATGATGATGATGATGATGATGATGATGATGATGATGATGATGATGATGATGATGATGATTACTGATGACTGAAAATGTTGATGATGATGATGATGATGATGATGAGGAGGAGGAGGAGGAGGAGGAGGAGGAGGAGATTAAAGTGGAAAATAGAAACAAAAACCTTCAGGTTTTGTTTTAACAAATCCCCTAGTCTTTCATATATTTTTAAGTAGATCAGGAGCTCCTGAGTAACCCTAGAACACATTTTATCGCGGCAGCTGTGTTAAAAACGTGGAGAGAGCAGAGGGGATCTGCAGCAACATATGAACTGTTGGCTCTGACACTACGGCATCCAGCTGTGGAGCACAGAGATCTGGCTAATAAACACTGCTTTATGACGAAGATTACTTCTTAAGGTGAGAGATGGTGTCCAAAAAAAATATACCGTAAATGATCAAATAGACGCCCACTCTCAAATAAACGCTTCCTCAGTCCTGTTTAATAAACGCCACTCCTACGCTGTCACGTTCGTATTAGGCGCCCCTCTCTAATAAACGTCCCCTGTCTAATAGTCGCCCCCTCCCCCTTGAATTTTTACTCCAAAATACAGGGAAATGGCAAAATACTTCCTTGCTTGATTATTAGTTTGCGCATTGCATCTTGTTCAATGTCAAGTTGCTCTTTTGCTCTTTGATCTTATTGATCACTGTGCTCAGTGTGTCAGCAATTTCGTTCCTGCATATTAAAAGCGCTTAGTAATGATAACGATTGTCAAAAGACGGACCGAACTGGATTTTCGTCGAAAGCATATCGTATCAGTGTCTAGTTCGTTATACAGTTACAAGACTATAAACGCCCCTCTCTTTTAAACGCCAACGCTTGGAACCCTTAAATTAAATACATGCCCCGCGCGTCTATTAGATCATTTACGGCAACTGAAAAACAACGGTTTTGCCTTATACTATTATGAACACACGAGGTGTATGGTAAGCCCTTGTGCAGTTCAGGTATCCACTTATTGCGGCTCTTACTGTTTATAAACATTGCTTTTATTATTCAAAGTTGTAACGAGTAAAACAAAAGAATCTTTTGTTTCAAGAATCCAGTGCGCTTCTGGTTGGCACATTGATATCAGTAGGTGACTTCAGCGTGAGTATCGCTAGACAGATTTCTTGGTCGTGGTGATCTGTACAGTCGAACCCTGCCTTACGGACACCCGCTTAATCCGGACACCTCGTTATTATCGACAGTTGTCTATGTCTCTGGGAAAAGTAATCCCTTACATTTTTCCCCTCAGTGTCCTTATTAACAAGGTTTGACTGTACGTACAGTAACTCTCCCACTTGTCAATTGCAAGGTTTAGATATTTCAAGTTACTTCGGCTAGCCATAGTATTTGGAAAAACACAGAAAGGGGGGTTACTCAACAGTTATATACGAGGAGGCTCCGCCCTGCCAGAAAAGGTACCCCTTTCGTTTGCATCTGTTAGCCCTTTTGGGCTTTTTTACAGAGTCAAATGACAGATTTCCCTACCCTTTCATATACCGTAATTTTCTCGAATAAGCAGCCACACTCTAATGAGCGCCTTCCCTGATACGAGCGCCTTCCCTTGTGAAAAAATCACAAGCAGATCCCCTTCCCTCTCCTTGCGATTTTTTCACGGCCCTTCCCCCAAACAGATAGCATGTTCACAGGTTACCGAATAAGCGCCCACCCCTAAGCCAAAATATCAAATTAGCGCTCCCCCCACCCCTCAAGAATAAGCGCCCCTCCGCCCTCCCTCTCACTTTCTTAAATAGCAGGGTTATAAAGAAAACCAGTTCCTATTACCACATTATTTTGAACTTTTTAGGCTTCGACTAGAGCGGAACCAGCCTGATAAAGGAATAGTTTCTTTTCCCAAGTCATTTCCAGTATTTTCTATATCCATGTGTAATTGCAGAGTTCCTTTTTGTACGTTATCTCTTCTTTTAATGTTGGTCTTATTCTTCTTACGTCGCTCTTGGTAAATGCCTTAACCTCCCAGGAATAACTAGACCATTTTCTGGTTCGCTTTAAGGAGAACGTATTAACCGCCTCTCTTCGAATAAGCGCCGGGCTCTTATTCGAGGAAATACGGCGCTTCAACTTGTGAAATTCTTACCTTTTCATATACTTGAAGCCTGAAAAAGGTACCCATTTTGGACGGAGCCTCCCCTTATAGGTAGGAATGGTGAACGCAAGCTTGATGTATATTAAAGGTGATATTTGCTACAGTGGCAGGTGTTAAAGTGGTGCCTTTGATTAGGACAGTTGTTGGGTTTCGTGTTTCAGCAAGTAAGGGTAGACTTATTTCGTTTAGATCTAATTTATTACTATTGATCGTTGTATAGGTGTTCATGGATTGAGTAATTGAAAACATGCATAAATTGGTTACGTCCCTGAGGAAGCTACGTCGGCCAAGAAGTGAGAGGAATGCATGCTCTGGCACCCCAAATAAGGAGAAATGGTTTCTTCTTTCGTACCTTACGATAGCCGTTGAAAGGGCCTCCCCCTTTGTGCAAGTTAAGTGTGACAAAAATAAAATATGCATTGGTCTGTCTTTGACTAGCTTGTAAATACAGCCGCCTCTCTTCGCTGTCCACCTCTAGGGACGTTTCGCTAGAGAGACGTCTGTATTCGCAGGCGATGTGCTATGAAATAGTTTAGAAGTGGTTTTGTGAAAAAAAATTAAGCAGACACATTTTTGGTCTTTCTTTTTGCATGAATAAGCACAAATTCCGATTAGATAACCTATGCCTGCCCATTAAATTTGTTTCAAGAGTATAAAGTGGCTTGAAGAAAAAGGGGGCAATATTTTAAAATGTTCAGTGTTTAATTTGTTAGCAAGTAAAGTCAAATCGGAAGGGCGTGATACGTGTGTGTTTTTTAATTGCACGGTTGTACAGCTCTTCTAGTTAACAAAAGTAATTGATCATGTAGTGTAAGGGAAAATAATGGTACACGAGCCGTAGGCGAGTGTGTCGGTAATGGTCTTGCCTCATTTTGACGTCGTCTGCAATCTGTTATTAAAAAGGCGCACAGTTACATGGAATCTTGCTTAGTCTGATATAAACAATCGAGTGGTAAGAATTCTCGAAACGTATGTAAATCGAGTGTGCATAACTCTCTCGAATTCTCCCAACACCATCTGGTGTTTATATCAGGCTATGCCAACAAAAAAACCTTTTTTATTGCTTTATAGCTCCCCAGGTACCTGTAAAGCATAGCATCATTACAGGTCATTAATCGTTCTCACAGGGAACGCGAATATACGAAACAATTAGTTGTGACCATGGTCTACGTTATGCCAATGGGGGAATCTTTGTTTACACTTTTTGCCCATTAACATATGCTTATCACTATCTGATGACGCTTATAAAATAAAAACTCTAATTACTGAAAAGGCATAACAGTTTGAGTTATCTCTGAAAATATGAACCCAATACACCGAATGGTTTCGAAGAAATTCTCTTCTAAAAACTCGAAATTTTACCGAGGATGTATGGCTCATTAACTTTTTTGCCACCCAACAATTTCGCTGTTTTTGATGGCTGATATTTCCTTCAACATTGCTTGTAAAGAGCTTAAAATTGCAAAAAAATGCTCAACTTCATCAGCTCTTTCAACTTTTGCCTTTAGCTCACATATACGGCCACAGCTTCTATGAGTTAAGTCGTATGCTAATGAGGAAAAATGTTAACAATGACGTCAACAAAGATTCGCCTATACCAATTTCTAGTATGGTGTCCGAGAACATTTCATTGCAACCTAATTTGTGTAACTAGCATTGTGATTCATAATTATGTGTTCACGGTACCTAGCATTTTTTTCTAAGTTTAAAAACTAGCTTGAGTATCATGGTGAATTTGTATGGTTTTAGAATGGTTAAAATCCAGTAAAGTACTTAATACGTGATAAAAGCTAATCACATTTGTTAAAGTTAGAAAAGAATTAAAATCGTCAATCGCATTTTAAAGCTATTGTGGTGGTGATTATTCCCGACTTATCTAGGAAAGATCGAAGCGACCCTGCTGGCAGGGTAGCGTTAAACTACCTCGCGAGGTGGTTTAAAAAAACCTAACCTGGTTAAGAAAATCTATTGTTCTTGCTTGATTTGCATAACCCAGTTAGAACTCTGTTAAGACAGTAGAAAACCCGGCCGCACTAGCAGTTTTTTTAATCGAGTTAACTTAAAATAACTTAAAGTCCTTAAGTGCGGCCGCAGCCAATAAATACAGTGGAAGATGTACTGTTAGAAAAGGTCAAGTAGTATTACATTGCTGTCGATTCCGTGAAGATTACTGGCTCTTATTTGTGGGGTATTTACACAATCACCCAAATGAACATTTTCAGCCTCTTATTCAATGCAGATTTAACTTAATTTTTATATTGATCATATAATTGATCATATTTACATTGATCATCCACACATATCTTCGCCTAACACCGATAGTCTTCCGGTTTTTCCAAGAATTAAAGTCCCGCCCTTCTCCTCCAGCCGTTAGCTTCGAGTGCCGGAAACTTAGCCAAGCAGCTAAAGGAAACAAAATACAAGATCCGTTTCATCTCTGAATATCATGATCACGTAACCCACCGTCTGAAAAAGAAACACTTCTCACGCGGATGCAAATACAAATATAGGTAAAAGGAAACTTTAAAGATCTTTTGCAGAAAAAAATTAA